AAATCAATCCGCATTCGTCTGCCAATCCGGCGGATGTGGATTGAGCGGATTGGCGGTTTGGCAGATAGATACGAATCGGTTTGGCGGTTTAAAATTTTATAAATTTTCAACATAATTAAACTTGTGCACTTCCTCAAAAACAAAAAAAAAAGTATTACAGTCAATGACTTAAAAAAATATTACAATCACTGTATGTCTTATCTAAAGAAAGAAAGTTTAAAATTTTAGAATAAAAATATAACTATCTTTCTAAACATAAAAAATTTAACATATTAAAATAGTAAAAAACTAAAATAATTTATTAAAATAACCAAACTTCTAAAACTAGGTGAATATTTTTAAAGAGCAATGCTATGTAACTCGAAGTTATCTGATCGGTCATTCAGTAAAAAAGCTGATAGTTGCGGTCGATAAGGTGACAAAGGGGTGGGCGCAGGTCGGTTGCGGCCACGAAACCTCCAATCCGCCATCCGTCCACCAGATTGTCGGATTGAAGAAAATCAATCCGCATCCGTCGGCCAATCCGGCGGATGTGGATTGAGCGGATTGGCGGTTTGGCAGATAGATGCCAATCGGTTTGGCGGTTTAAAATTTTATAAATTTTCAACATAATTAAACTTGTGCACTTCCTCAAAAACAAAAAAAAAAAAGTATTACAGTCAATGACTTAAAAAAGTGTTACAATCACTGTATGTCTTATCTAAAGAAAGAAAGTTTAAAATTTTATAATATCACGATCACTGCATGCCTCATCTACATATTACAATCACATCATGATTTATCCACGTGAAGTATTACAATCTGTGATTCTTAAAATATAATAACAATTCAAACCACCAAAACCATGAACAGAGCAGTAGTAGAGATTGTATGTCTCTGTATTGTTACATCTATATATATTTTTGAAAACAAAAACTAACCAGCATATATCATATTTTCTATTTATTATTTTTAGAGTTAGATTTGAAAACCAAAAAATATAGATAAATAATACGTTTATTTTTTTCAATTCAAAAAATATATTCAAGTTGAATTTTTTTTTTCAACAGAATATTTAAACTCTTTTTCAATTGAAAATACAAACATAATATTTAAACAAATTGAAAACACAAAGTCTTATAAATTACTAGGGATGCTCGCGGTTTGGCGGTTCGATTGCGGCCAAAGAAATCTCAAATCCGTTATCCGTCCGCCAAATTGGCGAATTGGAGAAAATCAATCCGCAATCGCTCGCTCGTCATCACGCATCCGTCTAAAATGCGACGGATCGCTTCGGTTCGGACGTTTTTGCGGATCGGTATATCCGCTGCTTACCCCATGACAACCGCGATAGACAAGTGCTTCATCCGGTCATTCGAGTGGTCATCCGACCGATCGACCGGCAAACACAAATTTGACCCATTCTAGACAGCTCAATTCGAAACACCAAAGATTCTCTACTTTAAATTAGGCCAATGCTAACCATGTTAGCAAGACCCTTTCAATTAACCATATGTACAACCTTCAATGTGTGTATATATGCTTGCAAAAGATAAGATATGAACTTTATGGCCTAATACTGAGACAAATAGATGTTATTAAAAAATGTTAGAGATTTTAAAAATTTTACCAAATGTCTTACATGGATGTGGGATCCACAGAACTTTTATGGCCTGATACTGAGACAAATAAATGTTATTAAAAAATGTTAGAGATTTTAAAAATTTTACCAAATGTCTTACATAGATGTGGGACCCATAGACATTTGATAGAAGCCTAGGTATAATTTTTAGGGTCTCTAACAGTACTCAATGTTATTTTTAAATAAACACCACGAGAAACACTATGGTGCAGGGATGGACTGAGGGGGGGCCGGCAGGGGCGACCGCCCCCCCAAAGTTTTGAAAAAACCCCCTAGATATAGTAATAAAGTTACAAATATTTTAAAAGTATATAGGTTCGCCATCCCAAAGTTTTTGCACAAAATTTAAGAACCGTCACTCCCTGAATTTTGTACTTTAAAATTTTAAAAAACACTATGGTGCAGGGATGGACTGAGGGGAGGCCGGCAGGGGCGACCGCCCCCCAAAGTTTTGAAAAAACCCCCTAGATATAGTAATAAAGTTACAAATATTTTAAAAGTATATAGGTTCGACGTCCCAAAGTTTTTGCACAAAATTTAAGAACCGTCACTCCCTGAATTTTGTACTTTAAAATTTAAAAATTTATTTATTTTTTTGATAAATACTAAAAATAATAATTTATTTTTTAAGTATGATTACTTTTTTATTTTAAATTTAGTAATGTTAAAATAATTGGGAATTTATTTGTTAATATGTTAAAGTCATTTTTGTCTGATTGGAGCCCAAATTTTTTGGTTGTTTGCTTATAACTAAATTTAAAAAAAAAAAATGATTACTCAAGAGTAGTAGGCGCCTACCTAAATCAATCATCTTATATTCAAAACAAAGAAGCTTCTCTTCTATCTCTTATTTCCCAACTAGTGAACCCAAATCATCAGAACTAGTGACCCAAATCATCAGAACCAGCTAGTGACCCAAAGCACAATCTCTCTCTCGTGTGTTGTGAGTCTTCCGGCGTTCAAGATCATGATTTCTCCAACAGTACTCCAATACTCTCTCTCTCTCTCTCTCTCTCTCTCTCTCAAAGAGTTAGGGTGTATTATTTGGAAAAAAAAGATTGGACTATAAACTTGGTAATGCTGGTAATGGAACCATTTGTGTAATTCTCAATCAACTATTTATACTTTTGTATTACATTTCTATTGTCAATTATCGAGTACAACTTTAAATGCTTAAGTAGTTATATAGAGCAAATAATTGTTTTTTTGAAAATTAATATGAATTTACTAGTACATATCAAATTGTATTTTGATAATACTTTGTAATTATATACGATGAATGGAAACATCTAATTATATATTTTTGTGATATTTGGATAGAAATTAATATTATATATAACATGCTCATTACAATTTTTTTGATTGCATATACACTCACCCCCGACATTAGAATCCTTCGTTCGTCCCTGCTACGGTGGATACATTTTTCAAAATATGTGCATTATATGTATCTTATAATTTTTTTTTAAAAAAAACATAGTTTTAATTTTTTGAGTTATAACTAAAAAAAATAAAAATATCATAACTAAATATAATATGAAATATAACTAAAAAACTAATGAGTCATAATTAAAAAAAAAGTAACACAATTAAAAATACATATAGTACACATTTTTTAAAGAGGTGTATACTAGAATTCCCCTCATACCACATATCAGAGGTTTCCCATCTTGACATATGGCTAGCATCTCAAGGTCCATACATATTTCATTATTTCTCAGATTTTTCTAAATTAGAAAAACCTAAAAATACAAAATTGTAATAAATATTTTTTTGCTAAAAAATATATGAGTATTTTAACAATTGCCATCCATAATAAATATTATTTCAATTATTACCCAAATAAATCGAAATCAAATAGTTAAAAAGACTTGAACAACTAAAAGATTTTATTCCTAATTGAAATCAAACATTATGACCATATATTTTTAACTAAAAAATTTAAAAAGTCACTATAAATTCAATTATTATTTTTTTTCATGTATTCTTATAAAAAGTTAAAAAATTCAACTAAAATAACTTATTTCCAAAACAATCCATATTCCTAATATATAATAGAAGCTCGATGTAAACCTCAAACTTATTCAAACTTAACTTGGCTCAATCATGCCCATCGGAATCACAAAAATATAAAAAGTATACATCTAATAATATTTTTAAAATAGTATATTTGCAATGTTGTCATATATCTACTTCTAAACTGAACATACCGTTAAAAGCCAGATAACTATTTAGAAATTTACACACACATCTAATTATATTAAAATAGTATATTTGCAATGTTGTCATATAACATACCACCAATGTAAAATTATCGAAACATAGATAATTAACTTACCTAGATAATTACTTGGAAACTTACCCTTATGCTATGTTTGATTGAAAAATTTAGAGAGGAATTTAGAAAAAGAAAGAAAAAAAAGTTTGTGAAACTATGTGAAATGTAAATATATATTTTTCATATTTTACCTATTTTTTCTATTTTTTTTTTAAATTTCTTCTCAAATCCTTCAACCAAACACATCCTTCAACCAAATACAGTATTAATATATGCCTAAAAAGGGTAAACAGTTTAACACACTTTGCTACTTAAACAACTTGTATTAGGGTTGGTTTGGCAAAGGCTCATTGGGCTTTTTTGGCTCAATGAGCCATAAAAGACAGAATAGGCTCATGAACCACAACAGACAAAACATTCCATCTAACTCCATAATCATTACACTCTTCTCTCACAAAAAAATCAAAAAAGTCAAAAGCCCTTCCCAAACTAAGCTTTTAAACCCAGACTCATATAGTAAAAAAAAAGTCAAAAAAATCAAAAAGTCAATCCACTCCCAAACGGAGGCTTAGTTTGCTCCAATACATACATACCTATATGATATATTCCCGCCCAATTTAGCCCTAGCCAGCTATCAAATCACCAAAATAGCAATGGCGGAATCAAAATCATAGTGAATAACAATGACGACGAAGAAGAAGAAGAGAAAGCTTCTCAATTTTCGATTTGGAGTTGTCAATCGTTCGAATTTTCGAGTTTTCAAGTTCTCAATTTTGGGGGTTTTATGTTGTTGGGAGGCTCTGGTACTCTCTAGTTGTGTACATTGGCTGTGGATCAGGCAGAAAATCTCAGTGCAGTCTTTGGCGGTGGAGTGTCTGTGGAGCGAAGCGTTTGACAATGTCTCAATCGCCATTGACGTGGTCACGGAGTTCTGAGGAAGGTATTGCTACTACAACCGCCATTGCAATTGGTACAGACAAGAACAGCCAATTTGCTGTCAAATGGGCCGTGGATAATCTATTGAAGAAGAACTCTATTGTCATTCTTGTCCATGTCAAGACCCAATCATTGAAATACAGTAGGTACCTTGCTCTTTCATCATCACATTGAATCGAATCTATACAAAAAGAAAGAAAAAAAAAATTAAATCACGGTAATTGATGTGTTTCCCATGAAATCAAGGTGGGTTTTGTGTTTCAATTGGTATAAAAATCGTTTCATACTAAGAATATGCAAAACCCAAATTATGTTCTTATCAGTTGGTACATAATACATAAGGGAAAAGTCATTTAGATAATCTGGTATTTTATATTTGATATTGAATCTATAAATTTTGAAAAAAGAATTTCTTTTTTGAAGAAATTAGAGAGTTGACCAAAAAAATCAAGTCGCCTGTCATCACAATCAGTGTAAATATATTCGGTATAAGAATAGTTTCATACTTTTGAGAATATGCAAAACTCAAATTATGTTGTCATCAGTTGGTACATAAAAAGGCCTTAGCATGGAATGCCCAAAAATGATTCACAGAAGGAAAAGTTCATTTAGAATAATGTGAAAATATCGAATAAATTTGCTATACAGGTTAGGGATATTTGCTTGTGCCCTTCTTGTGCAATTGGGTATGAATGAATCTTCACTGGTGATTGTATTCCAATTGTGATTATCTGTTGTAGTTATTGGTACTGTTGTCAAATTTTTCATTGTCTTAGGTTAAAACTTGGTGTATTAATGTTGAAGGAGCTCATGGGTTTGAACCCGAGGGCAATGACTTTGTGCATATCTCAATTTGTGGATTAAAACTCAGCGTATTAACCATGAGGAGGGAGGTTATGGATAACCTGAGGACAATCATTTTGTGCATATTTATGCCAAAGGTTATGTCTGCACCCGATCTACTTCTCCTAGACCCTCGTCAAATGGAGATTAAACTGGACATACTTTCTTTTTACTTCCTTTCTTCTCAAATTGTTTTATTTGGTTTTGCAGAGGATGATGCCCCTAGAGGAGGCAATGCACCAACTGGAAATGAAATGCAACAGTTATTCCTTCCTTATCGTGGATTCTGTGCTCGCAAAGGGGTAATTCTATGAACCTAACTCCCTAATACGTCTATTAAATAGGCAACAAACTGCTACCTTTTTTCTCTTTTGAAATTGTTGAAGAGTTGCCAATCAAATTCATTTGGAGCAGGACTACACTATGTATGGCCTCTTAGAAATTAGTTTGATTGCATGTTAAATAGCAGGCTGAAGGTTTGAAAAAAATAAACAAAAGCTTTTAGTATCCTATAGAACAATAGAGGTGGCCAAATTTTCCACTAAAACCTGTAAATTTTAGCATTAATGTCAAACATATCCGCAAGGTTTGATTTCATACCCATGATAATTTCAGGTTCTAGCAAACGAGATGGTCCTCCACGATATTGACATTTCAAATGCGCTAGTTGATTTTATCCAGAACAACTCCATCAGCACTATGATCCTTGGTGCTTCCAGCCGCAGCTCTCTAACAAGGTGTCTGTCTGTCTGTCTCTCTCTCTCTCTCTCACACACACACACACACACACACACCATTTATGGGTACATGTCAATTCTTTTTCAAATGATTTTAGTAAACTAATGTCAACCTGTTGGTCAAATATTGCTGTGGGTAGTTATCATCCCTAACTTTTTGGGAGCAAATAATTCATGATCATCTTTTTGCATGTGTAAATTTTGGATTGCATCAGCATCAACTGCATTTCTTTATTAAGAGGTATAATAAGCTAACATATATCAAGCAACCTTTTCTGTCTACAACATTTGTTTTGTTACTCTGAGAAAACACTATGAATCCTAATGTGCAGTGTGTTGGTTCCTAGGTTGCTAGGTCTATAAACTGCCTGTAGGCTACTGGTACTCTTTAGGACTCATTAAGGAGGTTTGAGTTTTCAAAACTTCCCTTTCCTTTTTCCCTCTTACAGTACTATTTTTGTTGTTGCTACACAGGGCATTTAGAAATGTAGACGTGCCAACTAGTTTGTGCAAAATTGCACCAAACTTTTGTTCGGTGTATGTTATATCGAAAGGGAAAGTTCAGAGCATCAGGTCAGCCAGCCAACCTTCTATACCTGGTGGTGCAGTTAGTTCCAAGCGACCATCTCAAACACCATTTTCAGCAGATACCGCAGTGTCTGAAGATTTATGTCAGTAAGTCATAAAATTACATGTTTACTCTTTTGAAGTGTATGATAGTAACTAGAGAATGACACCAATACTGGCTACTCCAACTGTCCATGCTAATTCATGCAGCAAGGGAACTTTTGAAACAAATAATAAATGATGGTCTTTTGACACAAAATGAGAGTGAGGGGACTGACTTTTATGGCATTGGTTAAATAGCTATAACCGTCAAATGCTCCAATTCTTTCATATGTATCCAACTACTTCAATGATTTGAATCAGCAATAGAGCATAATGAAATTCTCGCTCCCTTTGATTGTCAATTATCATATTTGGTTTGATACTTTTAAATCCTCTGCTTTCTCAGCCTCGAGCCTCGAGACAAAGAAGTATGTCATTCAGACTCTAATGTTATGCCTTTTTAGTTTTCTCGTTTCATTTAGAGTAAGAAATTTAAAGAAAAATAAATAAATAAATAAAATCAAGATTATGGTTTGTAGTACTGAAACAAAAAGTCCACCGGCCAAATTTTAAACTAAAGTTCCTAAGTAATCTTTCCAGATTAGAACACTTAGGTTTCTCATTTTTCGATATTTACCTGCTATTACAGAAGTAATAGCTATAGGAGTTGGAAAAGTGGAGGCTCCAGCACAATGTCATTTGACAGGAACAATGATTTGATGCAGTTAACTTCATGTGACAAGCTCTCGACCTCGAACAGCATTGTGCCTTCACCTCAACATTCAACTAGCAGAATGATTTCTTCACTGCAACATCCAATGTGCAATCTTGATCTTTGGTTTCGCTCCAAAGGGAGTTCATCCAATCAAGATTCCGCTATAGACGTCAGTGATTTTTCAGGACCGCCTAGTTTTCAATCAACTGAAATGTCCTGTGAAAATTTGGACTATTCCCTCACATCAGATGTTTCCAGGACTTCTGGCTCTTCCCAAACTTCGGTAAGTTCAGTACAGCAGAAATTGTGGGTACAAGATATAATTATTAATCAATGGGATCATAATTATGGATCATCTATCATGATTATCTGATTATAGCTTAATCAACAAATGGAGCACCGTAATTGAATGATCGTGATAAGTAGCCTGATATTATATTTAATTTGTTGTGGGTGTGACTTAAATTTGACCCAAGGATGTCTTGTAGTTGGTACTCGCATTCAAATGCTACTCCTGCCACAGTTTCCAAAACCAAATATAAGACATTTTTCATAATTCTAATGTGTATTTCTTTAAATTAGTTTCAAGGAAAGAAAAATAGGTAGCACAATGGACTGATAAACTCATTGCATATGTATTTAAAACAAAATAGACTGAGGTATGTCCAAGCTAGAAAGTTCTGCAGTACTTTCTAGCTTTTAGTGCCTATTAAAGAACTTTGCTGTCACAGGGTGTCATTTCAGTGGCACCAAGCAAGCATCCATCCAATTCACGAGCAAGAAACATTAACTTAAAGCACCAATGAGGGTACTTCGTTCTCTTCATTTGATTGAAGGGATAAAACCCACAATTTTTCGACCCCAGTGGTCAATATGTTTCAGAGTTTGTAAAATACTAACACATATGTTAATTATGAAATTGCCTATGCTCTATGCTTTATTAGCTTTGTTTTCTTTTGCTGGTTGTCAATGAGAAGGCTGAAATTAAACACATTGTTGTGCACAAAAAAGATGAGGTCATGAGCTGTAGTCTTGCAAAGTTTTGTTATAGCAGACTGACTTGCATGCCTTCATTTGAATGACTATATTACAGAATGAACTAGAGGCTGAAATGAGGAGATTAAGAGATCAATTGAAGCAAATGATGGAGATGTACAATTCAGTTTGCAAAGAAGCAATTTCTTCCAAAGAGAAGGTAAAAATCTTGACTTGAACTAGATTGATGTTTCCTATCTTCTACATGGAAGTTATCTCACAATAAGTCTTTCCAAATGTGACTACAAATCACTTGTGTTTCCCAGGCAAAGGAGATTGATGAATGGAAGCCAGAGGAGGAACGCAAGGTTCTGGAAGCAAAGCAAGCCCAAGAGGCTGCGATGGCTTTGGCCGAGATGGAAAAACAAAAAACCAAGGTTGCGATTGAAGCAGCACTGATGGCACAACGACTAGCAAAATATGAGATCCAGATGCGAAAGAATGCAGAGATGAAGGCCATACATGAGATAGGAGAGAGGAAGAAGGCTATGGACGCGTTGACTTGCTCTGAAATTCGGTATAGAAAGTACCCCATTGAAGAGATTGAAGTTGCAACAGACTACTTCTCCAATTCATTGAAGATTGGTGAAGGAGGATATGGACCTGTTTATAAAGCCTTTCTTGACCACACACCTGTTGCCATTAAGGTTCTAAGGCCGGATATGTCACAAGGGAAAAAACAATTTCAACGAGAGGTATTGTATTCCTTGTTTCTGTTGCCAATTTGTAGATGTATACTCGGATCATGTAGAAAACTATCCTGAACAAACACCATATATGAAGGTTGCAGCTTTAAATAAGCTAATTATGTCTGTGTGTCCAAGCACCAACTTAAGCATCTAACTTTCTATTATTGTTCTCACCATGCAGGTTGAGGTACTAAGCTACATAAGACATCCAAACATGGTTCTTCTTCTGGGTGCCTGCCCTGAGTATGGATGCCTTGTTTATGAACACATGGAAAATGGCAGCTTAGAAGACAGGCTCTTCCGGAAAAACAACTCTCCTCCATTGCCATGGAAAACACGTTTCAGAATATCTGCTGAGGTCGCCACTGCTCTTCTTTTTCTTCACCGAACAAAGCCAGAGCCTCTAGTGCATCGAGACCTCAAACCTGCAAACATTCTTTTAAACCGAAACTATGTGAGCAAGATCAGCGACGTTGGTTTAGCCAGGTTGGTTCCACCATCTGTCGCTAATGGTGTCACTCAATATCAAATGACCGCAGCGGCTGGGACATTTTGTTACATCGATCCCGAGTACCAACAAACGGGGTTGTTGGGTGTGAAATCTGATGTATATTCATTGGGTGTTATATTGTTACAAATTATTACAGCAAGGCCTCCGATTGGTCTGTCCTACCATGTTGGCAAGGCAATTGAGAGAGGAACATTTTCGGAGATCCTTGATCCGATGGTGCCAGATTGGCCTTTTGAAGAGGCGTTGTCATTTGCTAAATTGGCTTTTCAATGTTGTGAGCTGAGGAGGAGAGACAGACCAGACCTTGGTTCGATCATATTACCTGAACTTCAGCGATTTAGCAATCTTGGTTTTGATAATGGAGCCGGTAACATAGGCGGGATCACATATGGAGCAACTTTTAATGATCCGTGTTTTCAAGTGAGATCACCATTTAGTGAGGTCAGTTACCATTCTGAAACTTCTATCTCTCAGTTTCTTATGTCTAAGCCTTGTCATTAATTCTATCTATTTGTTAACTGAGAAGTGAAGAAAAGCAGAAATTTATGGCAGTGAGTATAGGATTCTACATTATCTCCCCTTCTCTTGCATCTTCTTGGCAACCAAACGGATATAAGAATGCCTATACAAGAAAGCAACCCTGATACCATTTTTCAAATTTATTATTGTTAAAATTTGTGTTAAATATTAGTAGTACTAGTACTGATAGATGGTTACTTTACCATCTTTCATCTTCAAGTGGTATATTCTTTGTAATATTCATTTAAACCTAAAATCCTTTATTTTCGCCTGAGTTTGGCGGGGATGAAAATGGTGGAAAGTGAAGGAAAGGGCAAAAAAAAATATATTCCGAGTTTGTTTAAAATTTGTTCATAAAATGGTTACTTATGATTAGAATTCTAAAAATTTATCTTTCCTTGCAAACTTTTCATCCTAATCAAATGCATATGAGAAAATATATTTTGTTTTCCATTTCTTTTCTTTCACTTTCCTTTCTGCCTGTTTCACTTTCCACCATTTATTTCACTTTTCTAGGGCACGTAAGATATGAATAACCAACCCAGAACAGAAATATAGCAATGCCTCTGCAATCACAATCAGTTATTCTACCTAGATTAGCGAGAGAGCTATTTGTCAGGCACGGACATTCAATTCTATGTTTTGATATGCTTAACCAGGAAGCGAGGAGAAGAAATTGTATTCAGCAGATTGAAATTCAGGAAAGATCGGTGTTGAAAGAAGATGATTGCAGATCGAGTCCCGAACCAGATAGTGAAGTTTGAAACTAGTCGTGGAAAGGATCAAGACAGGTTTGGGAGGCACTTTGTCTAGTGAAATTGAACACTTCTTCCATCTTCATCTAATTGTCAGTTGAAGAAATTGAGGTTGTATTTGTATTTATGGATTTGCTAGCACTCATTCAAGGAAAAAATTATTAGGTGGTTTCGGGGGCACCACGTGACAATGCTCTCACCAAATGCCATGCCCCTGTTCTCCCAACACCCAACGCCAAATCGTGAGTCTTACTTCCTCTACCAATTGCAATGCTTTTGAGGCACCATCTGACCATGCTCCAAAACCACCAAATAACTTCTCCATTCAAGGTGTAGAATTTTAGAGCTAGATTTCAAGAATGGATGGTGAAGATTGTTATTTGAAATCTTCTCATGAATGATTTCACTTGTATGCAAATATTTAATCAAATTTGTCTCCTCTGTCTTTACATCATCTATTGCTTTTAGAATTACCAATTTGCATTAAAAAATTCCAAAAACCCTAGAAGAATAAAAGAAGAAATAAATGGATGAAAAGAATCTTGTAATTTATTTGGATAGTTTTATATATTAATTTTATTGACATAAACTAGTGGTTCGAAGATGAAGTTTTTTCATCAATTTTCATAACAACATTGAAACACCGAGTTTATATGGATAAAGAGGAGAGAAATTGTGAAATGGTTACAAATATAGAGAATAAATAAATTCTTAAAACTCGTATTTTGTTTTTTTATTAAAATGGATTAGATTTGATGAGAAATATAAGCGCATGAATACAAACTTGAAAAAAATTAGTAATGTCTCTCCCATAGAAGTCCATTAGATCTGATCCTTCTAAAAATATCTCCAAGGGTGAGTTACTCCAGTTAAAAGTCAAATCCAGGAGGGTGTGGCAATTTGGTTGTGATTTGGCAATAAGTTTTTTAGTTGATTTTTTGATTTTTTTTTTTTTAATTATTTTAGTTTAGTAAAACCTTGAGATATAAACGTTGAAGTCTCAAGTGCGATTGGACTCTCTCTAGGGAAACCTTCTAGGCTTGGGCATCTTATTTAGTATTAGGAGTGTAGATTTAAATTTCTATCAGTGTGCAAGTCTGCGACTTATCGTTACATGATTAAATGGTTTTGCTGTGTAGTACTATTTAATGGTAACCTTCAAGATCTCTGATCCTTAAAGTCTAACCTCAGAGGTCACCCTCTGTGATTAATCTAAGGTTCCTAAACATATATTTTTTTTGTATGTAATTGGAAGAGGAGGTTCATATTTTGGGGCAAATGTACACTTATTTGCATTAAAAATAGATAAATAAACAATTTTTTTTATTAGGCATCATAGTCTAAAACGATCTAAAATGTTTTTAAAAAATCCAAAATCCAACAAAAGCTCATTAAAGATTTTTTTTTTAAAAAAAAAAATTAATAATTTTTTGTTTTGCTTTCATTGTACTCTTCAATTTTTCTTAATAAACTTTTAAGTTCCATTTTGTAGCTCGAATTTCGTTTACCCGAGTGGTTTGACTACCCAAAACAATGTCGTTTTGGGCAGTGTTTTTTTTTTTTTGTGGTCCTTTTCTCTCTACAAAAGAAGAAGAAGAAGAATGAGGAGGAGGAGGAAAGAAGAGGAAGTTGTGTGAGAGATTCATCCTGATTAAAAAAAAAACACCAAATCATCAACACTAACAACAAACAACACCAAGCTGATAAAAAAAAACAACAAACAACATTAAATCAGAGAGATTCATCCTTTGTTTTTTTGAAGATCAAAAATCAAATCTAAAAATCCAAAAATTAAACTCAAAAATCAAAGAGATTCAACCCAAAAATCAGAAATCAAAATCAACACATCATCATCATCATTATATACAGATCTGTACCCAAGCGGCGCCTATAGTGCTCCTTTCTCTCTCTCTTCTTCTTCTCTGTCCTCTCTTCTCTTTCTTCCTTCTCTATTTCAACAACATAAGAGGGAGGGGGGAATCTCAAAACGACATTGTTTTAGATATTCGAACTATTCGGGCCAACTTTTTCTCAAATTAAGGAGGATTATTGTAAAATTTTTAAGTTTACCTAATAATAACAAAAAAAAAACAATTATCAAACTGCTCTAGGTAGGTCATTAAAGTTTGTCACGTGTTACCTTGGTTCATTAATGGTGGCCTCTGTGACTCATAAAAGTGTGTGAAAAAAAAAAATACATTTTACTTTTGACATTTAAAGCATTAATTTCGAGTCGATTTACTTTTATCATTCACATATTTTGACACATTTTTAATATTTTAATTAGAATATATATTTATTTACTAAATTAATAAATATTAACACATAAAATAAAAAATTTACATTTAATTTTTTTTTAGTAAAAAATTACTTTTAATTTATTAGATTAGAAAATTTTGAAAAAAAATTAATATTTAGATCTTTTAAAATTAAACCGGTAAAACAATTTGGCAAAACACCCTTTGAATATTTTTGAGTAAATTACAAATATATTTCTTAAACTTTATTTAATGGGGCATTTATACACGAATCCTAAATTATAAACTTATATCCTATTAAGTTTTAATTAAGATTTTTTAGAATTTCAAGTTCTATTAATTTTTAATAGTCGGAATTATCCTTCAAATAATGGTTATTCATTATTTATAATTATCTATAAAATAAATAATGATTTGATATTTATTTTAATTTTCAAAACTTTAAAATATTAACTTTCAAGTTGAAAGAACTAAAAAAAAAAATTATGTGCATAAGCAAATATGTTTTTTTGAAAAAATTGAAAAAATGACTTTTTTTTGTGCAAAACTGAAAATTTTGTATCTATAAATGAGCATGATATTGGAACATTAATGTGAAAAATTGGGAAAAAAAACTTAAAAAATGAGAAATGTTCTCAGTTTTAAAAAGGAAAAAAGCTGATAATATTCACGATTTTATTAGATAGTTGAATCAAATCAATAAATAAAAAGATACAAATATTTAATCTCATGCTCTATTTTTTCATCAGTTAATGAAATAATTATATGAAATATTACTATGCAAAATTGATAATGTTATTAATTTTAAAAATTGAAAAAATTGATAATATTATCAGTTTTACTAAATAAGACTTATTGATTTAAAAACTTTTAAATAAGACCTGAGCTACCATAAAATTCCTAAGTAGGACTTTTAAGTAATTAACTTTTATTTATAAAATATAAATTTCCCTTATGTGATTCTAGAAATTACACTTCAAATTTCATAACAATTAACTCATTTTATGCATAAATAATTAAGTCAATTAATAATTTTTAATAATATCAAAATTTTATTTTAATTAATAATTTAAGTAATTTTATTTTCGTGTAAGAAAACAGTTAAAAAATTTATTTTATTTTTATTTATAATTTTTTAAGGAAAAATTAGTCTAGGGTCCCTCTCCCACTTTTCGTAATAGAAGAGATCTACAAAAATTTTTTTTGATGTCTAAGGTTCCTAAACATATATCAGAGAAATTTGACTCTATCTCTCCTCTCTCTCTCTCTCTTCTCTGCTCCTCTACCAATTTTTAATAATATCAAAATTTTATTTTAATTAATAATTTAAGTAATTTTATTTTCGTGTAAGAAAACAGTTAAAAAATTTATTTTATTTTTATTTATAATTTTTTAAGGAAAAATTAGTCTAGGGTCCCTCTCCCACTTTTCGTAATAAAAGAGATCCACAAAATTATTTTTTGATGTCTAAGGTTCTTAAACATATATCAGAGAAATTTGACTCTGTCTCTCCTCTCTCTCTCTCCCTTTTCTCTGCTCCTCTACCCTCCTCTACGACCTCTTCCTCAACACCTTCTCTTCTGACTCCTCCCTCCGCTCCGCCACCGTCACAGACCTCCGCGCCGCCCGGATCTGCGACCCGGCCTGCCTCTCTGTAAATTTCTAATTGAAGAGCTGAACGCAGAGTTCGCCCGCGACACCTTCGATGGCAACCAAGTCTTAGAGCTCAGATACGAAGCTTACTTGCCAATGGCGATTCGCTGCACCAAATCCATCTGTTCATCGGCTTGTTCCTCTTGGAATCTCCACTCCATCGCCGTTGCTCACCGCCTCGGCCCCGTTCCAGTCGCCCACACCAGTGTCTTCAAAAGTAAAAATTGTTCGACTTGCGGCAGAAGTATGAGCATCATGTACTTTTGGCTACTGTTATATATATATATATATATTCTGTCATTGTTTGCGTGTGGTTTTAACTCTCTTCCAATTTATTGCTTTCCATTCCAAGTTTCTTATGCAACAGGTGGGTTTGGCTGAAAAAGAGAAAATACTATCATCTTCAGATTTGTATTGTGATATGGCATATTCATTGCCATACTTTTCGTTTACAACTCTAGAGACAACCACAGGTTAGTGTGTTTCCCCAGGGACTACGATCATTATTTTTTTTGCCTAAAAACCAAGAAATAACCCATTTAGTAACCACTTGATTAGAATGCTATGAAATGTGGTGTGTCACTGTAAGAGTGACTAATGTTAACTGAATTAATTGTTAAGCTGAATTTCTCTAGGTTGAAACCAGAGAAATTCTCTGGTTTTTGAACTGAATTTTCTCTGGATTGGTCTAGAGATATTCTTTGGTTTTGAGTTGGAACCTGAAATGCTTAATTTATATAAATCCCATTGCATTTTTCCCCCCCTGTATTTATCTTTTTGATGTGTACAAAGTTGCCCATGATGTTAAAGCAGAGAAATTTGCCTCCATCTCTGGCATCTCAATCACAAAAATTGGAATTTCTCTGGATTGGAGGGGAATAATTTCTCTGGTTTGGGTTGGAGAAGGAGAATTTCTCTGGGTTAAGTGAATTTCTTTGGATTGAAGATGAGAATTTCTCTGAGTTAGAGAGGGAAATTTATCTGAGTTGAAGTGAATTTCTCTGGAAAATCCAGAGAAATGTGAGATTTTCTCTGTGCAGTCCAGATTTTCTCTGGGAAAAATTTCTCAGGGCTGAAATTTCTCTGGACTGAAATTTCTTTCGATCAATGTTGAGGGACCTTAGACATTATGAAAATATTAGATATCCTTTATACTATAAAGTCTTAATACCAGAGACCTTAAAAAAAAATCTCATTTTTTAAACCAAACAATTTGTGTTTGGTAACGTTGACGTTTTCAGTTTATATTTATAAAAATTTTATAAACTGCTTGTTGCTTATTTTTAGAAAAATATAAACTATAAACGCGTTTAGTAATTGTCAAAATGTTTAAAAAAATTTAAAAATATAAAAAAAAAAGTGAGAAATGACAAGTGGTGGCAAGTGGCGGCGGAAGATAATGTGGAAAGTGGTGACGGTGGATGGTGGTGACGGGTGGGTGGTGGTGACGAGTGGGTGGTGGTGGTGGTGATTGTGGCGGGTGGTGGGTGGTTGTGGCAGGTGAGTGGCGGATGGCGGGTGGTTATGGAATGGTGGTAGTTGTGGGTGGGTGAAGGTGGTAGGTGGTAGCGAGTGGGTGGTGGTGGTGGTGGTGGGTGTAACAACTACATTATGTTATCTAATTAAAAATCAAAAATCCAAAGCCATATTTTAATCCAAAAAATACAAAAAATTAGAAATAATGTTTCGAATTAGAGAAGAAAAAGAGGAAATTACTAGAGCTAGCGTGTCTACGAGGAAAACACGCTTTCCATTAGGTTTGACAAGTTGAGAGATCTGCCTAAAGTCAAATCGATTAAAACTCGAATTCGAAGACGAAGAACTGCCAAAAATCATCGAAGAGCCATCGAATTGCTTCTCTGAAGAAGAAAACCTTCAAAATTTAGTGAATGAGATTCCAAAACTTGGACCTAATTGAACCAGGCGCTTACACGCAGCCATTAACTTCAGAGACGAAAACTTTTGAATCAACATATGAAATCTTTGAAATGATCGAAGAAGTAAATCACTGGATTGATTGGTACAAAAAGAGGAACAACAAGTTGTTCATTGTGGTGTGGCTTGGGTAGAAATTTGAAGAATTGGTTTACGAATGATCGATGAACAGTGAGAGATGGAATAGAAATTTGTTTCCCTCTAAAATCTCCCCGCACCCCCTTTGACCCCCTCTCTCTCATTGGTTACAATTTCTTTTTCTTTTTCTTTTTTTTTCTGCTCCTCCAATCATCACCCGCCACGTGACAAAGGGGGGGTGAGGGGGTCCCAAGCATAATTCTTTGTATTTAAAAAAAAGCTGTATATTTATATTTTACCCAATATTTTTGGAGATGCTTTTACTTTCGACACGACGTCGCATTCATTGCAAATATCAAACCGGCACCACCTAACCTAACCCTAAACCCGGTCCGATTTTTCTGCGAATCGCAAACTCGGCGTCGACTTTACTCTCTCTCTCTCTCTCTCCCCCGCTCTTCATTCGAGAACGAGACCAAAAGCTCAAAACCCCCCAAAACCCTAACCCTAACCCTAAACCATGGCGTACAATACAAACCCTTCGAATCCCAACGAAGACCACAATCGTCGACTCTACAACCCTTACCAAGACCTCCAACTCCCAATCCAAACCCTGTACAAGCTCCCAACCTCGCCGGAGTTTCTCTTCTCCGAAGAATCCCTCTCTCAACGCCGGTCTTGGGGCGAAAACCTAACCTACTACACCGGAATCGGATACCTATCGGGGTCTCTCGCCGGCGCCGGAAAAGGACTCGTAGAGGGAATCAAGGCGTCGGAGAATGGTGATTCGGTGAAGCTGAAGGTGAATCGGATGTTGAACGGGTCGGGTCATGCGGGTCGGAGGTTGGGGAGTCGGGCAGGGGTGATGGGGTTGTTGTATGCGGGGATGGAGAGTGGGATGGTGGCGATTAGGGATAGGGATGATGGGGTGAATTGTGTGGTGGCGGGCTTGGGGACTGGGGCGGTTTATAGGGCGGCCGCGGGGGTGAGGTCGGCGGCGGTGGCGGCGGCGATTGGTGGTGTGGTGGTGGGGATGGCGGTGGCGGGGAAGCAGCTTGTGAAGAGATATGTTCCGATTTGAAAGGGCTTGTTTGGTTTGTTAGCTTTAAACTTATTGAATTTTATGCTTTCTAATAGATCTATTTTTCTTTAGTTTGTTTGGGATGAATAATTTTTTAATTTTATTATATCAGTAGAAAAGTTTATATTTTGCCATGGAAAATTTTAGGTTGCATTTAGTAAAACTTTCTAAATATGATTTGAGAGAAAAGTAGTATTTTGAGTCTGTGAGTTTTGAAATTATAATTTGAGTGTGAAAAATTTGTTTGATAAAAAAGTTTTGAAAAGAGTTTTGAATTGAGTGAAGAATTTTTAATGTGACATATGATATTTGATACAAAAACTTACAATTCATAACTAAACATACAATTCAAAATTCTATTAAAACACATAATTTTTTTTAAAAAAATTTGAAAAATATTTTTTTTGAATATATAAAAATTAACATATGTCAATTGTAAAAATAAAATAAAATTTTTGTATTATTCTGATCAACCGGCCGAACGACCGGTGGGACATCCATTGGGACGACCAGCTAGGCTAAATTTCAAAAAAATAAATTTTGAAAATTGCGTCTTTGTGTGAGTTTTTTGCAGAATTTTCTAAATATTATGAAAATATACTTTGAACATCTTATCCAAATATCATATTAAAATGTGGGGTAGAATCATAGTTCGAAAATCGTTCCAAACACAGCCTTACAATCTCTTGTCAAAGAAATATATATTTTTTAGTAATTAATTATTGTCTATTTAATTGTATTAATTTTATCATTAATTTAGTCAAATCAAAAAGGAATTTTAGTTTAAGATATCTAATATTAAAATTTTATAAGATAAATGACATTCTGTAAATTGTTCTTGAGGTTAATTTTGCTGGTATTAGTTATGAGTTGCTTTTTTTAATTTTTAATTTTATTTTTAATACCTCTCTTATGTTATTTAATATTTCTTAGGGGTGAAAAAATAATGTAATGAACTGCTAGCTAGGAGTGCGAAAATAGTTCATGACCCATGGGCGGCTTGAAGCCTACCAGTGGCCTGAGGTGGGCTCGGCCTGTTTGGGTTCAGGCCTGAGCCCTTGGGTCTGGGCTATCATTTTGAAGCCTGGGCCAGCCCATGGGCTCGGACGGTTTGGCTCGGCCTGGCCTAGCCCGTGGGCTGCCTGAGGCCCAGTGTTTTTTTTTTTTTTTGTGAAAAATAATAAAATTTTGGTAGAAAAAATTAAAAAAACAAAAAAAATGGTCAGGCCCAGGTCTACTGGGCCATCCTGCCGAAGGCCCAAATACCCTTGGGCTTAAATTTTTGAATAAATTATCAATAGATCCTAATAGTTAGACTTAATTCCTATCAAGTCCTATTGAAAATAAGTTCTGATAAAATTGTTATTAAAAATAATTTTTGTGACAATTTTTTGCATACATCGCTAAAAATTGACGATTAGTGACTTTTTTTTGTCATTTTTATAAATTGTCGTTAAAATTTATAATTAGTGACTTTTTTTATGACAACTTTTTTTTCATAGGTCCTATTAGACAATAAGTTCACTTATTAGGATCTACACGTAAGTATACCTTAATTTTTTGGCCTGACTGAGCTCGAATTTTAGCGGGAGCCCGCGAGGCCCGACATTGGCCGGGCCGGGCCGGGCCGGGCTCAAGTGAGCTAGGCCGGACCGAGCTAAATTTACACCCCTATATTCTTTGATTGAAAATTTTGTAGATTTGACTATTTAGGCATCGTTTGGGAACAGGTTATTTTGTAACTTTTTGACTTTTTAGTTAAAATATAAAGTAAAAAAAATTAGTATTTTTGGAATAATTTTTTTATTTTTTATGAAAAGATATGTAAAAAGTAAAGAAAAAAAAGAATTTTTGACTTTTTAATATATGTTATAAACTTTTTAATTTTTTAAGTAATTTTTGACTTTTAAACTAAAAGGTACTCTTTCTAAACGAGGCTTAGTGTGATCTTTATTTTTTTAACCAAATAATGGAATAGTAAATCTACTGAAGATGAAATGCAATTTCATGCCTCAATCCCGTGTAACAAAAGCACCCATTGTGTTATTGATTGTCAAATGAATTCTTGGAGTAAATCTTGTCCACCAACTCCACCTCCGGCAGCTGCTCTCCCACCTCCCTGCCACCCCTTCCCCACCTTTTTCCACCAGCCACTCCTCTCTAATCCCCGATACCCCCGTCTCCTTCCCCTCCAGCAAACTCTCACTTGGGGATGGGCCGAGAAGGTGGCCAGAGTTGTAGTGGTAGGTGATGGTAGAATTAGGATTTGAGAAATTAGAGATGAGAATAAAATGGAAATTTATGATAGGATAAAATTGATAAGAGTCATTTCAATAAGCTCCTCACCTCTATTTGATTGTTTTCTATCAAAAAAAGCTTTTTAGAAGTTTTTTTTTCCCATCAACTTTTTTTTCTACTTAGTTTTACTTTTGAAGCAAAAAGAAAGAGGAAGGTGGGTCTTTTTTCAAACTAAACCCTTATACTAAACAATTTCCCAAACTAAAGTCGAATTTTCCAAACTAAGTTGAAGCGTGTTTACAAACTTACTTTTAGCATATTTCTGGTCTAGGCGGACAAAATAAACAAAATCATGAAAGCGTGGTTAGAAAATACGACTTTAATTAAGAAATCGTTGTTGCTATTAACGTTTTCAGATTTAAATAATAGCACAATTTGAAAACACACTTTCAACAAAAAGCGTGATTACAAATCACGCTTTTAAAGAAACATTTGAGAATATCTTGTTCCTATTTATGCATCATGATATGAAGCCTAAAAGCAAGTAACTTGAACCTGTAGTTCGAGAATCCACTTTCTCTCACTTGGCAAGCGGGATCTCAAACCAGAATCTTGAAGAAAGTGGGGTTCAACTGTTGAATTTAAAGCATCATCTGCATGCATGCTAGCAGAGCCACTCTCTGGAAAGTATATAAACACATCACACTTGGTACCATGATGAATAAATATGAACAAGATATTCCCAAATGTTTCTTTAAAAATGTGATTTGTAATCACGTTTTCTGTTCAAAGCGTGCTTTTAAATCACGCTATTATTTAAGTCTGAAAACACTAATAGTAGCAACGATTTCTTAACAAAAGTTGTGTTTTCTAACCACGCTTTCATGATTTTGTTTATTTTGTCCGCCTAGACCAGAAATATGCTAAAAGTAAGTTTGTAAACACGCTTCAACTTAGTTTGGGTCTTTTTTCAAACTAAACCCTTATACTAAACAATTTCCCAAACTAAAGTCGAATTTTCTAAACTAAGTTGAAGCGTGTTTACAAACATACTTTTAGCATATTTCTGGTTTAGGCGGACAAAATAAACAAAATCATGAAAGCGTGGTTAAAAAATACGACTTTAATTAAGAAATCGTTGTCGCTATTAACGTTTTCAAACTTAAATAATAGCACAATTTGAAAACACACTTTTAACAAAAAACGTGATTACAAATCACGCTTTTAAAGAAACATTTGAGAATATCTTGTTCCTATTTATGCATCATGATATGAAGCCTAAAAGCAAGTAACTTGAACCTGTAGTTCGAGAATCCACTTTCTCTCACTTGGCAAGCGGGATCTCAAACCAGAATCTTGAAGAAAGTGGGGTTCAACTGTTGAATTTAAAGCATCATCTGCATGCATGCTAGCAGAGCCACTCTCTGGAAAGTATATAAACACATCACACTTGGTACCATGATGAATAAATATGAACAAGATATTCCCAAATGTTTCTTTAAAAATGTGATTTGTAATCACGTTTTCTGTTCAAAGCGTGCTTTTAAATCACGCTATTATTTAAGTCTGAAAACACTAATAGTAGCAACGATTTCTTAACAAAAGTTGTGTTTTCTAACCACCCTTTCATGATTTTGTTTATTTTGTCCGTCTAGGTCAGAAACATGCTAAAAGCGTATTTTATAAACACGTTTCAGCTTAGTTTGGAAAATTCGGTCAAACTAGGCCTAGTTTGAAAAATAATTTAGTATAGGGACTTAGTTCGGAAAAAGCCCCGAGGAAGATGGGTTACATAGAGAGGTTGGGAGGTTGTTCTTGTACACCCTCAACTGTTAAATACATTATTTTTGGAGGAGCAAATTCGAACTTTTATTAGGATTCTGTGCGCCGAGTGAGTGTGTCGGAGAGGAAATAATGTGTTAGAATATTGTTTTGATCCTTTTCACAATGGTTGGTTGCTTTGTATTGTTTACATAGTTCTGTAAATTTTATTGCTCATTAAGTACAGAAAGTTTCGTTTCTGAATGGGGTTTGGCCAGTAAAATTTTCTCCCTTTTGTTTTGTTTTGTTTTTTTATTTATTTTTTTATAATCAAACCCAAATATATATATATAAATTTTCTTGTTGATAAATGTACTCTATAAAAAGCACTTGTCCGCAAGACTCCCTTAAATATACTCCATAAAAAGCACTTGTACGCAAGACTCCCTTTTTCGAGCCCCAATATCACCCTCCAGGCTCAATATTAGTCTTGAGAAAGGTTTAACCAAAGAGATGTTTAACCATTTGTGACTTCAAAACACGTGGTTAAGAGCGAGTTTCCCAAACCCATATTAAGTTGATTCACACTACAGACTAAATTGAACGTCTCTAAGGCATTTGGGCCAATCCCACATCTCAAACTACCCAAGATCAGAAATTTGACCCAACAGTTGAATCAATGACCCTTAAACTAAATTTATGGTTAATCAGTTATAAGGTCCAATGCATCAACCAATTGAAGTTATATTTGATAAAAATAGCTGTGAAATTAAAAAATTGAAATTTTGTCACCCACTAGTATGCGACTTTGGTCCATATCATGGCATCTACAAACACAGCACACTGAAATTGGCTGGCTCCTTGAGAGAAAATTAGAGCGCTTTTCTTTCATAGGCCATTTTCACAAACTACCACTAGAAGACGACACATTTTTTCTACCAGCTATCCAGAGGAATGTTGAACCAGATCCTCTGCTTATCCAAATTATATCCAAAACGATGAAGGGGTTTTACACTCTACATGAGCAAAAATCAGTGCATGGTTACATCGCTGCCCCCTTTATTCCATAAAAAACTCTCTTACCCTCTTGCTCCTACAAGGAACACTAATATATGAATGTCAATCAATCCAATACGAAATCAAACCCAAGAAGTCCCTCATCCGGATTGATCATGGGGAAATTTGAATGGACCAAAAGAAAAAGTTGATCAACTTAGAGCAACATTGATTCCGGATTCTCAATGTAACCTTTAAATGCTTTCAGCCATTCTGCACCGATTGCACCTAAACAAACAGAAGCAAAAAAAGAAGGATTAGGGTTTTTCTCTAGGCAAATGAATAAGTTTGCTAGATGTAAATATTCATATTTTGGATGTTTGTTCAGAGCAACCTTACCATCAATAACACGATGATCACAGCTCAATGTTACAGACATGAAGGTTGCAAAATCATATTGCTCTGAGCCCGAACCAGGTACAACCCTCTTCTCAGCTGCTCAAGAATTTTTAGAGATGAAGGATGGTCAAAAGGGAACAAAATAACAAGAAAAAAGGGCGAATAAATGAATGCACCAAATGCATGCATTAGGTGCCCATCTTACCAGAACCAACTGCTAGAATGCCTGCCTGAGGGGGATTAATGATGGCACAAAATTGTTTGATCCCAAACGGCCCTCCCAAATTTGACACAGTGAATGTACCTCCCTGCAAATAGAATACCATAAAATAAGAATTGACAATAGCCCAAGGCATCTGTCTAATAACAAAAAGCATAGTTGTTAAAATCTTGTGATTCACGATTTGATTCACACGATTTGATATGAGTTTCAACCAAAATGATTTAATTTGTCATTGAATCTTAAATTGAGAAAATCAAATGATTTAATCGAGATTCACTGTGACTCAATCCTATTTGCATAATGCTTGAAACAACACCGTTTTTACAAAATTTAAAACAAAAAAAAGAAAAAGAATCAAATAATTAATTTTTTATATTGATATACATGAATTTATACATATATACATATACAATTTAGTTATATTGATATTTATTTCATTTTAAACACTTGTGTATTTTCATATGTATATAATACATATATAAAATTATATATTATGCAAAGTAAAGTGAATTGATTCGATACAATCCACGATGTTAACAAAATTATTAACGAATCAATTCGCAATTTGACAACAATCAAAAAGCATTTTCTAACCTCATAGTCTTCTGGCTTTAAGCTGTTCTCCTTGGCTTTTTGGGCCAAAAGTTTGACATCATCAGAAATTTTGGATAAACCTTTCTTGTCAGCGTCCTGCAATTCCAGAGTAGGGTTGTAACACATGTTATATCTGAACTAGTAAGTCTGAGATCATGGAAATCATTCAATAACATCAAACTGTAATGACTCACCTTGATGACGGGGACAAACAATCCATTGTCTGTTTGCACAGCAACATTGATATTCACATTGTTATATCTGGATTATTTGCAAGAAAAAATATCAGAATGAATTTCACAAGGCGACGCGATAATAATGTTTACCACATAAATACTTACTGTCGAATATAGTCATTCGTCCATGAACTATTGCACTGAGGAACTTTTCGAAGAGCCAAAGCAGCAGCCTGCAGTCAGTTTTCACTTCTAAGATCACCACAAATATATGGCCAAAAAATTGGAAAAAAAAATAAAAAATCCCATGTTCATAATTGTCACTTCTTTTTTGAAAACATAACCAATCATTATACTATCACTTCTGGTGGCAATAAAGCCCACTCTCCAGTGAATTTTCTTTTACACATTTCACAATTCTGTTAGGGTTTCGACATGAAAATGATTGCTGATAGAAGAACTCAGATATCCACAAAGTTTACTGTGCCAAGAGAATTAGATACCTTAATTACAAGATCGTTAATAGAGATTCTCTTTCCACCTGAAGCTTCTTGTAATGAATTAAGTTGGCTCCGCAATCTACAGAGGAAGTAGTTATTCAGTGCTCATAAAATCTTTTGATGGGTTTTATCTTTCAAATGAAAATCAACAAATACTCACTCCATCAGTTTGTCAACACATGTATCAACAGTTAAATAGTAATGGGGAATAGTTTGCTTCGACAATAACAACCTTGAAGCTGTGATCTGTAAACATTGCACCAGGGATTAGATTTGGAAATAAAGCTTAAAAAATTGATCAATTAAGAATTGCAAACATGGATCTGAAATCTCAGAAACTAAGGTATGATGGCCCACATGGAGTGCAACAGGAAAGGATCAGCACATCAAAATTGTTAAAAGAACACCAGGATATGATGCTGACAATTTAATTTACTATATATATTACCTTTCTTATCTGAGAATGAGGGATGTCTGTGTAATCTAAAGATACTGTGTCACCTTTGGGGGCTGCTCTTGAAACTTCCTTCCTTCCAGAAGCTACACCACATGGAGAAAAAAACAAAGGTAATTCAATATTCAGCTGAATGATTATTGAAAAAAATTGCACATTAAAGAGAAAGCGAGACCTATAAATAATACATGAGAACATCATACAGCAGCATTTAGCCTTGAAAATAACTGAAATAAGCAATAAAAGAAGCAAAGCACCAAAATCATGGCACATAAAGTAATTGAAGAAGCAAACATAAAATACCCAAATAATCTTCAATATCAGCCTTCACAATGCGTCCATCAGGACCTGTTCCTTTGATGCTTGAGAGAGGCACCTACAATCAAGGGATGTTATACAAATATCAAAAGATATTCAGCTTGAGTTGTCCTCCAATCCATGGTAAGACAATAGTTGAACAAAATTTAGTGAAAGCATCTTATATAGTTACATTGTGATCTTCAGCCAACTTTTTTGCAAGAGGACTAGCAAAAATGCGATCTTCAGCTGAAGAAGGGGCAGGGGCCTTAGTAACCTTTGGCTCTGGCGAGGTGGCAGGTGCCTCGACTTTTTCTTCTTTGGGTGGGGCGGATTCAGATGCCGCTTTAGCTGCAGGACCGGCACCTGATTTTGAAGGTTCATAATCTTTGAATTTTGCAATATCCTCCTCGTCTTCAACAGTTATGGCGATTACCTACAGGAAGTCATAAACAAACTCTCAACGCTCCAAAAGACTATTCTCTATACTGCTCATCAATTATATATATACAATTATATATATATATTTATGTATTAAAAAAAAACTCTATGCCAACTAAGACACAATTTCCAATTCATGTAATTAATTTCAGTTATTTACTCTATCAACATTTCAATTCACTAGGCTTGACAAAACATACGATATCAAAAACATGCTCATGGCATATTGAGCGACTGATGGATACGTACCACATTAAATAAAAATATCTATGAGGCCGCTCTAATGCTAGATCAAATTTACGCATAGCTGAGATAAGGATACAAAGTCCAAAGTGTGGCAAGACAAAGGCATGGCTGGAACAAACACTATTTGCTTTAAGTTACATAATTCAACAACTTTATAAAATAAAGGAGGCTGCAACAGCTTAGTTATGTGCAAAGTGCACCCATGAAGTCCCAAAAAGACGGAGAGAATTGAACCAGATAAGAAAATGTGGCTATACTTTGGGAGAAAACGTAGTGGCCTATGAAGTTCTTTACAACATGAACTGAGAAAAATTGCCAAAATTTCCAGATGAAGATTAAAAAAATGCTGACCTACCACAAAATGCTTAGAATCATGTGGTTGTATACTCCGTGAGAGCTGAAAAGCAAAGCTAATGGGATCTACTGCTAGCTTGGGAAATTGTCACGTTCAGCCAAACAAAGGCTAGTGCGCATAAATGGGCCATGAGAGAAATGGATAGACTCTAGTCTCTAGCAAATGGGAACTCTAAAGCAATTATTAGTTTAGATAATTGAAAAACTGATGTCTGGTATTCAAGTACAGTCCTTAGCTTTTTTAGTCATTTAGCAATAAATTAAATAATAAGAAGGCAGACGCAAAGGCCTTTTTCCTAGAATATCCTGAAATCAGTTTGTAGGTGTGGGGGTGGGTGCATAAAGAACAGAGAGTATATGGCAAATATGTTGGTTAGCCATTTCCCAATTGTTTTAAAAAAATTTGAGTTTAATTTTTTTTCCTGCAAACACCATATTTATGTTTTCTGTTCTCTAGTAAAAAATAATAATAAACTACTGAACAAAATATATTCCCAAATATTCTACTGCTCTTATAAAACAGGTTTTGGAGAACTCATTCCTCAAAACTAGACCTAATAGGCCAATAGTATCCAACTTTAATTCATATGTTGATTAATATATACAGAAAAAGATAACCATGAAATAAAAGGAATAGACATATGAAATAATTAGGACCAAAGTGGTCTTAATACAAGACAGAATTAATACCTCACCAACTTTAATTTCTTTCTCTCCATCTCCACGTACTATCTTAGCAAGATATCCTTCCTCCATGCATTCCATCTCAACTGTTGCTTTATCCTTCAATATTGAATGGAAGTGACATACAATGTCAATTTACATGACCAGTCTAACAATAACTTTAAACAATTAGAAAAAGTAGAAGAAAAAGCAAGGACCCACTGTTTCAACTTCACAGAGCACTTCACCAGGAGAAACTTTATCACCTTCTTTTTTCAGCCACCTTGCAATATTACCCTGCAATGCAAATATATTTAGAAGGAAAGAGTAGATCTAGTATGGTGTGAATCTCTTTGCTCAAAAATAGTACATGCCTCTGTCATTGTTGGTGAAAGTGAAGGCATCCCAATCTCCTGGTGTGGAGGAAGGCCTGAAGATATCATAACTTATAAGAAACCATACAGTTATGAATTACATGGCCAGATCAAATATGATTTGAACAAGATCATCACACTTGACAACAAAGGAAAAGCTTGTACACTTCTTCAGCACCATCATGTCACAAAAAATAAAATTGAACTATACCTGAATCAGTTGAATAACCTCTCCTTGGGTGCACCTGTGAACTGATAGCACAATATATGAAATCAGGCCCGCGTACATAGTACTTTTTTCACCTTTTAAGCATTTGCATATGACAGTAAAAAATAAAAATAAAGATCTGACAAACTAGTGCAGAATGTACCCTCTGTAGAATACCAAACCAGCCATTGGAGATTCTGATTTCATTGCTTTCCTCAAAGCATTTCCTTCACATACTACTGCTGATGAAGTCTACACAAAATGGAGCACGATAGTTAGCCACTGATCTCAGTTTGGGAGATGCACATGTCTCCACAAGAAACTGTGATGCAAAAAATGAGGCAATCTAAAGAATGAGAACGACGACTAGGAGGATGAGGAGAGGGAGAAAATATTATATGTATCAAAAAGACCTTGAAGATGGCTGAATTTATTGCTTTATAATGAAAGCTATCTGTACTTGAAGTATATCTAGTGGATGACTTGCAAGCCCCATTTCTTTCTCCAGATACATAACCATGTTTGCGGGCCCCCATAATATCTGATAATAAAAAAAGTTAAAAAAAACACAATAAAGCTCAAGAACTTCCCAACAACACAACTATCATGCCAAATGGGAAGGTAAGCTTTAGAATATTTATTGTATGAATATAGATGGTAATCAAATCAAGATAAATATCCACATGCCTAGTACATAGAGGGAATGTCACACCATGTGACACGTGTGCCATAATCCAATAAGCACCATAGGAGGTGAAACTTTTGAAATTCAAACTCTTTAATGCTGAAAATATTCTCTGGACTGAACAACAACTTCTACAAGTAAAGGCGAACTCAATGCTAACATTTAATGATTCTCTTCTTCTTTGTCTGTTAAATCATTTATCAAGGATATTCACAGATGACATATTATCCAACTTATGAACAGATATCATTATATGACTATTACTCTTCGAAGGGAATATCAAGGCTAAACTAATTACAATTATCTATTGAAGGGTATGCATATAAAACAAAGGAGTAGTGAGGAGTCCCAAATGAAGAAAAAGAAGAGGATAAATTCCATCAATGAATGTTGTTTGCACAATAATGATAAATGACGAGAGATATTCAAGGATCTACAATATGTTCAAGGTTAGACTCAACCATACCCAAAAAATTGTCAAAGGGCAGGACAATTTGAAATCTTAATTTTCAGAATGAATTGTGCCAGCATGTTCATAATTTTGACACATATGCTTTCACAAGTCAATGAGAAAATAGCGAGTTTGAAGACAAAGGGTGCAATGTTCCCTCGGGCAGTAGCTTTGTAGTCCATTGAAAAATAATACAAAAATATATGAAAAAAGTTTTATGCAATATGAAATTAACATAGAATTAGATAGGAGAACGCTGTGGTGAGAAGATGTGAGTTAGTGAGCGTTAAACTCCTAAAACTGGAAGAGGCCGAGGGCAAACTTAAACAGAAATGGTTATAATATCTTAACAAATTTCACATGTTTCAACAATATTTTAGGTTGCATTCATGCATGAACTACAGATAAGAAAAACAAATTTTGATTCTATGCCAAACACATTCAAATCGAAAAGAAAAGAAAACTATATAATTCCATACTATTTACAACAAACTCATTAGAGAACGCTAGCAGGCATCAGACCTGTTACCAGCCGAAAATTAAAAATCCAGAACCAGCTACTTACCATCTCCTATACCAATAGAGGGTCGTGCACCATTTGAAAACCAACGTACTAAAATGGCACGTTCATGCCGCAGTAAGCTGTGAGCATTTCTCAACTGTAGATAGAAAGAACAAAAATTTAACACCAAAACCAAAAACTTATCACCAATCAACAAAAAACTGTATAATATTGAATGCAACAGCACCGAGAAACACAAGTGGAGTTAATGGTATTAGGATAGAACAATAACAAAAGCATCTTGAAGATGGATTCACAAAATGCCAGAACACCTAGTGAAAAAATTGGTTGGATACTGTTTTCATGTTTTCTGAAACAAAAGTCAAAAAAATACCCATCGATGTAATTGTGTGCAAAAACAATTTTCAAAAATTTACAAAACCAACTTCAAAGTCTTTCATAAGAAATAGGATGTTTTCATTTTATTTTTTTATTTTTTTTCCTAAAACAGTTTGCTAAACAAGTTTTCTATTTCAAATTTCAGTTTTCCTATTTTCAATAAAAGAAAATGAAAAATCATACCAAACGCACTTCTCTTGTGTGTTTTCATTATATTTTATTCTTTTCACTTTTAGAAAACAAAAACAGTAAAAGGTTTAAAAACACCTATAGTCTTTTCTTTTTTTTTAAATGAAAACAAAAAAAAAAAAGCGGGTTTTAAAAAATAAAATAAAAAATAATGAAAACAGTTTCCAGACCTTTTTTAAATGAAAACAAAAAAAAAAAGCGGGTTTTAAAAAATAAAATAAAAAATAATGAAAACAGTTTCCAGACCAAACAAGTTTAAGTTTTCTGGAAGACGAAAACAAAATCAAGCAGCCCCCAATACAATAAAAATCCAAACTGAAAACCATGAACATAACATCTTTGATTTCAGATGATACAACAATTTTATTTTCTCATAACTCAAGCTATAAAAATTACAATCAAATACAGAGGAGACCATAGATACACGACATAAATGCATATAATAATAATTATTATGGTGAATATACAGAAAGTTTGAATGAGAAAGGTATGTACCTTTTTAGAGTGAGTGAAGAGGTGAGATGCGTGAGACATGGTAGCTGCTGAGATCGAAGAACTGCGTTCGAATCTGGAAAATCGAACGAGAGAGAGAGAGAGATCTAGGGCTGGATCGCAAAATTCTCAGGACGCCATTTCGGTTGTTTTGGGGGTTAATTTTATATATTTTTTCGGGTTGTGTGTTTGTGTTTGGTGCTTGCCTACCTTTACAGACTTTTCACTTCGTTTTTTTTCTCGTTTTATTGGCTGACCGTCTTTTGGCTGAAAAACTATTCAATGCAGAAAAATACGTATTCGTGTTTCAAAACAAATTTTTAGTTTGAATTTTTTAAATTAAATTTTTTAAAAATTAAATTTTTTAATTTTTATATTTTTAGTGAATATTTTTTAAATTTTAAATATTCTTTTTATTTTTTAAATTCACCTTACTTAGATGTATTTAAAAAGTAAAAAATTTGTGAAAAAATATTTTAAAAAATTAATAAATACATAAAAATATAAAAAATGTATTGAATTCTTCATATTTTTCTGTATTTTGGATATTTAGTGAATTTTTAAAAATTTTTCTTCACAAATTTTTTTACTTTTAGATACATCTAAGTTAGATATGCCTAAAAATTAAAAAAATTACTTAAAATATTAAAAAAAATCAGTAAAAACAAAAAAACATGAAAAATAAAAAAATAGAATTTTTGAAAAGCTTTTTTGAAAAGTGAAATCAAGCATAGTGAATCATTTTACACAATAATCATCATATATTATGATTTTTTTTTATTTTTAATTAATCACTATAAAATTATAGATTTTTTTTTATCAATTATAATATTTTAAATGTTAATTTTATAAGATTTTTAGTGTATATTATTAATAAAAAATTAAATTTATTATACTGATAAATTACATACAGATAAAAGTTGAATTTTTTTTTGCAAATACATAGTACAAATGTATTTATAATGAGATGCAAATAAAGGCTGTAGGGATACAAGTACCCCTTCATGTGTTAGTAATTTTTTCCTTTAACTTTCACATGCATGTAGATAGTGTTTGTTAAGGTTTTAAAATTATAATTTGAGTGTGAAAATTTGTTTGGTTAGGAGTTGTAAATTGAGTTTGAATTGAGTGACGTGACATATGATATTTAATAAAAAATTTTACAACTCATAACCAAACATACAACCCAAAATTCTATTCAAAACTCATAAAAAATTAAAAAAAAATTCACAAATATATTTTTTTGTAATATAAAAATAACAGGTAAAAAAAAAACACTGTTCCAGTTATCCAGCCGGACGATCGGTGAGACGACCGGTTAGTCCAAATTTTTTCACATTTGAAAAAGTTTTTAAAAGTGAGTGTAAAATTAATTTTTAAAAATATTAAACAAACACCACACTAAAAAATAAGTATAAAATTATATTTTAAAAGCTCTATCAAATGGAACCGTTTATCTATTATTATTTTGTCACATTTATTTCATAAAAAATAAATAACAAATAAATATTTAAAAATAAATCATAATTTTTCTTGGAAGACGAGTCATAAAATAAAAATATATTTATTGTTTATTTTAATTTTTTTTTATAATTATTAAATTGATGTAATTTTATTAATAAACGAAAAAGGAAAAAAATTGTGTGAAAGCCCAACTACTGAGAGGTACTCACAGTCTACAGAAACACAGAATTTCCACAGGAATCAGCCAAGTTTAGCGAGAGAGAGAGAGAGAGATGGGGAATCAGAAGCAGAAGTGGACGACGGAAGAAGAAGAAGCCCTTCGAGCTGGAGTGGCAAAGCACGGCACTGGCAAGTGGAAGAACATCCTCAAAGATCCCGACTTTGCTCTTTCTCTGTCCCAACGCTCCAACATTGACCTTAAGGTTTTCACCCTCTCTTTTGTCTTCATCTTTTTTTTTTTACACTAGAATGTTGAAATTTAGCTTTCTGTTACGCTGTCCGTGTTTCTATTCTAATTTTGATGTAAGAGAAGTGGAATTGTATGAAAAAGCTGAGTCGGACTATTAAATGTTGTTGATTGATTGGAATTCGGTGATGTAGTGTGTCTTGCAAAGTCTTCAATCCATGAAAATATAGAAATCTCATGGGAAAATATCCGAAAGGAAGAATGCATTAATAAGAAAATTAGTATGTTGAAATTGAGCTTTTCTGTTATGGTGTCTGTGTTTTTAGGTTAATTTTGAGGTAAGAGAAGTGGAATTGTACGAAAAAGCTGAGTCGGACAATTCAAAGTTGTTAATTGTTCAGAATTCCGTGATGTAGTGTGTCCTGCAAAGTCTTCAATCCATGAAAATATAGAAATGTCAAGGAAAAATATATGAAAGGAAGAATGCATTAATAAGAAATTACCATGTCAAAATTGAGCTTTTCTGTTATGGTGTCTGTGTTTTTAGGTTAATTTTGAGGTAAGAGAAGTAGAATTGTATGAAAAACTGAGTTGGACAATTCAAAGTTGTTAATTGATCGGAATTCAGTGATGTAGTGTGTCCTGCAAAGTCTTCAATACATGAAAATGTAGGAATCTCGAGGAAAAATCTCCGAAAGGAGAAAAACAATGGACACACCAAGTCACTACATCCATTATTGAATGAAAAATTACGAGCCTCAATGACGTTCGGATTTGTAACCCTTACACGGTTAGCCTAACCCTTTTTCCACAGCCATCCTCATCATTTTGATCCTCCTGGTGTCTTCTGATTGAATAGTATTCTACGAAGCTCCTCGCCCTTATATTTGTATAGAATGACTCTATTACCAACGATCGAGGGTTAAATTTGTCAAGCATTTTTTAGTTGAAAACAATCGACGTAGCATGTGAAATTTTTTGTTTCCAGATCAGGTAAGTGATAGGTTTCAAAAGATCTCCTCTAAGAAAATGAATAGATCTGTCATGAACATTCAAGGGCTGCTCAAGTTCTGCATAAACTCTAAACCAAACCAAGCCTTAAGTCCCATCAAATGAGGTCGGTTAAGCTCTAATAAATAAAAATAAATAAATAAATAGGTTTTGGAATCAGGAAACATGATTTGGCCAAAGTTCCGTACGCCTACTTAGGAGTGGTTTGGGAATTTGCTTTTTAAAAAAAGACGGACAGAAAAGTAGAGTGATTGATCTGACAACTTGTAGTGGTTTGTTGGCTTTTAGGCTAAAATAGCCTATCCCGAAACGGGACCTTAAGTGGGCTATCGATCGAAGCTTGTAGTAGTTTTGTAGATAGGATCCTGCTTGAGCTTGTAGAGAGTAGAACTCATATTACTTTTGTAGGTTTTTGTAGGTCTGCACACTCGCACTTGAGTAGCCTATTAGGTAGGCTCTCCTGTGGACTCCAAAAGTATTGTATTTTCCCAAAACAAAATTTTCAGTGAAATCCAAACTTATTTTGGTGCCGATAAAAAGAACCGTGCCCCATAGTTAATGCAAATGCTCCTCCTTTTTTTTATTATTTTTTTTATTTGATTGTAATGGAGTGACAACTTTGCACAAGTCACAATCCAATCTTCAAATGGAATCAACAAATTGACAACCCAAATAGCATGCCCAACACACAAATACATGGACTCAATTTTTTTGTTCCACAGAAATTGCCATCCTAACATAAACTTTATGTAACTATTGGCACCATAAATAAATTTTATTATTATTTATGTAATTGCAGGACATGTGTCACTCTCCTATTCATTTGAAAGTTATAAGAAGTTATGAAGTGTGAAAAAATGTGGAAAAGATGATGGAGGAAGTGGAAGAACGTGGAGCATATGGAGCCTAAAGTGGAGGAGATAGGAGATCATGGAAGGATACATGGTAAGACAAGAATGAAGATGGGAGAATAGGGTAGTTAGTGGGTAGTTTTTTCCTACATATTTTTACCTATAAATAGCCTTATATGGCTATATTGTAAATCCTTCCAACACAAAGTAAAGACAATTTACTTATCTTTCTTGTCTTTTCTCTTATCTCAGGAGTAGATTTAACTTAGATTTATTTTTTAAACTTCCTTTTCAAAGTATAGGAAAAGAGGTAAATTAATGGTTACTTTGATTGCCCACTCAATCATCTTCTTCATCTCCCTCTTTCTTCTTTTATTTTCTTCTTTTCTCTACATTTGGCAATTTTGAAATTCTTTTCTTTGAGGCAAAAGAACCATCAACACAATCGTCTGATAATTGGCTTGAATTTAATCTATAAGGATTTTCAATCCTTATTGGCACACTCGCATTTATAATACTTCCTTCGAAGGAAAAATAAACCATATAGTAATGGTGTAAGATGTACTTGTCTTTTTTAGTGGCTTTTTAACCATGTTATGCAAGAACCTGGTTTCGATCACATAATAAACGATAACAAGAAGAACAAGCGCACGCACAAACACAAGATATACGTGGTTCGGTGAGATGCCTACGTTCACAGCGGAGAAACGATCAAAAT